CAAACATATCACTTATCCATAAGGTATAATTACCTAAAAATTGTTGCTGTTATTATTTTGTTTTTTTTTTTTTTCCTGTTATTATTTTGAATGAACTTTCATCACATTATGAATAAGTAAAACAAATATAATTTTACTTTCATTTATTCCTTCTCTAATACTCTTCTTTTGTTCATCATTTTCCTTGTTTGTGAGTAATTTGTTTTATTTCTTTCATGGCAGGTTCATTGGTGACAGATTTCTTCATTTTTTTTTTTGTCTCTTTGTTTTAGAAAATCTTTGTCTCATTCACATTCGAAGGACTTTTTTGCTAAATACAGAATTCTGTGTGGGTGGGGCTTTTTTCCCCAATGTTTTATATATTTCACTGCAGTATCTTCTTCCTTGCATCCTTTCCAAAAGGAAATCCAATTTAATTCTTAGTATGTTTTTCTACATCTAAGGTGTTGGTTCTTCTCCTACCCCCACCCTCCATAACTTCTTTCAGGATTCTTTTTTGTCTGATTTTTTTCCAGTTTGAATATGATATGCCTAAGCATGAATTTGGGGTATCTATACTGCTTGGTGTTCTCTGAGATTTCTGTTTATGTGCTTTGGTGTCTGTCATTAATTTTGGGAATTCTGAGATTTTGTTGCATCAGTTATTTCTTTTTTTTCTCTTTCTACTATGGTTATTCTCATTATGTGTGTATTACACCTTTTGTAGTTTTTCCCCAGGTTCTTGGATATTCTGTTCTATCTTTTTCATTCTTTTTAAAATTTTTTTTATTTTAACTTCCAATATACATTGTAGTTGATTTTCATGACCCTTTATCCATCCCTCTTTCCCCCCTCCCCTCCCACATCATATCTGTTCACTTGTCTTAACAAGTTCAAGGAATTGTTGTGATTGTGTCTTCTTCCCCCCCACACTCTTTGTTTATTTATTTTTAGCTCCCACAAATAAGTGAGAACATGGGGTATTTCTCCTTTGCCTGACTTGTTTCACTTAATATAATTTTCTCTAAGTCCATCCATGTTGTTGCAAATGGTAGTATTTCATTCTTTTTTATAGCAGAGTAGCATTCCATTGTGTAGATATACCACAGTTTCCTTATCCACTCACCTGATTATGGACATTTCATTCCTTTTTTTTTCCTTTGTATTTCAGTTTTGAAAGGTTATGCTGACATTTTTTCAAGATGACTGATTCTTTCTTTGGACACTTCCTTTGTATTAATGAATGACTAAGGGTGTTCTTCAGTTCTGTTGCAGTGTATTTTATTTCCTGCAGTACCTTTTGATCCTGTTAGAATTTTCATATGTCTGCTTAAATTACTCATCTGTTCTTGCATATTTTTCACCGTTTCCCCTAGAACCCTCAGCATATTAATCATGCTTGTTTTAATTTCTGAACTCATAATTCCAATATCTCTTCTATACCTGAATCTGGCTCTGCTGCTTGCCCTCCCTCTTCAAACTGGGTTTTAAGCCTTTTAGCATGTCTTGTATTTTTTTTCCTGAAAACACAACATGATGTACTGGGGAATAAAAACTAAGGTAAACAGGACTTTAGGGTGAAGTTTTAGATTTCTCCTGCTGGGTTTATTAGGCTGTGTTTAATATTTTCAGAAGCTGTATGTGTCAGAATATAAATTTTTTTCTGGTGTCCTTGCTTTTACCTCTCCTGTCATCTTTGGGGTTCTGTAGACTTTTAAAATAAATTCTGAAAGTTGCAGAAAGAAACTCAAATATTGTTTCACTGCATTCCACTGTTATTAAGTAGAAACCCTAGTGATATACTGTTATGGTGTGGGTAGTGGGAAAACATGCTGTAGTGGTATTGTTTGGTCTCAGTCTTATAGTGAGCCTGTGCACTGATCTGTGGTATGATAATAAAGTTGATTGGTCTTTGTCTAAATCCACTGCATTTTATGAATGATAGGAGTGATAGTTTCTTCTTTTGTTGTAAGGAAGCAACTCTTAAAGCTTCTAGATAACTTCAGGATGGGTATGGTGACCTGAAAGACCGAGCCTTGAACTTTCAGCCCTAGCCCGCAACATCAAGGGAAGAAAGAAAAGCAGGAAATTGAGTTAATCACCAATAGCTGATGATTTAATCAATCATGTCTATATAACAAAGCCTCTTATAAAGCCCATAAATGTCAGGGTTCAGAGAACTTCCAGATTGGTGAATACATCAAGGTGATATGAATTGGCAGAGCCAGGAAGCGCGTATAAGCTATCCATTCCCCTTCCCATCCTTTGACCTACTTGTCCCTTTCGTTTGGCTGCTCTTGAATTGTATTTTTTATAATAGCCTGGTAATACTAAGTAAAGCACTCTCCTGAATTCTGAGAGATGTTCTAGTGAATTATTGAAAGGTGTGTTGTAGGAACCTCCAGACTTGTAGTGGCTGAGTAGACCGTGGGTATCCTGTGTACCCCATTTTGTGATTGGCATCTGATGTGAGGCAATCTTGTAGAACTGAGCCCTTATCCCATTTAGGCTTGACACTAATTCTGGGTACTTAGTATTAGAATTGAATTGAATTTTGATACATAGATGCTGTTGTAGAGTTGAAGTACTGTTGGAAAACACACCATGTATTTGGTGTTGGAAAGAAAAATAGATTTTCACCTTCACATGTGCTTCTTAGTCCTTCCTCTCATGTCAGTTCAGCTCTGGTAAAATCCTATTTGGTTAGGCATTGGTGAAATAGATTCTTTTGAGGACTGGCCTTCTTAAAAAGAACAGAATATTCTGGCATACTTCAGAATGGCTACTTTTTCTGTCTCTCCAGTTTTGGAGACAAAGCTTTGGCCTATGACCTTAATTGCTTGATGGATCTAAGACGACTTACTGCTTTTATGTTTGTTTGCTTTCTACTTACATGGATGAGGATGACAGCTTCTAAACTCCTTACTTGTCAGACCAGAATTTTGTAGTCTCTGATTCATTTTTTGATGTTATATTATTGACAGCTTTTAAGCCATATTTTTTTTCTCTTTGTGTCCCACACCTGGATGGGGTAAAAACAAAGCCTGGGTTCCCTTCCTGTGGTGCTGGCAAGAGATCCAATCCACTTAAGCCCCTGCCTATATGCTCCAACTCTCACACTGGCCCATGTTCTAACCTCAGTAAAAATCTTCAGCAGGTTCCTTTCTTTGCTCTCTCAAGCCGATTTACACATGCTTGAGAGGCCTGCCCTGCTCTCCCCAGAGACCTAAATTAGGAAAGTAATTAACCCTTTCCTATTCACTTGGCATGTGCAGTGTCATTAATCTTGCCATCTGAGTCAAACCTTGAATGGGTTTCACCTGCTTCTGCAATTGCAATATACTTTCTATTGATAAATCTTCCATATCCTTTCATATACATGCTGCCTTTTATTTTCAAAAGGTGCATATTATGGTGAGGTTACATAACTAATTCTACCTAAACAGACATTTGGCTTGCTTTTTGGCTGCCAAATTTTTGCTGCCAAAACTGTGATTTAAAACTAAGATTGCCAAAAGATGATAGATAGATAGATAGATAGATAGATAGATAGATAGATAAATAGATAAAAATAAAATCAGCAAGTTACAAAGTAATATAAAGTGTGCTCTTTTCCAAAGTTAATTCATTACATTTTCATCATAAAATATATTCAGAAAAGAATAAAATGTTTCCTGGTATGTTTTAATAATAATATAGACATCCATCTAATCATCATCAATGTGCATAAATGGACCTTGGGCACCTGTTAGAATCTCCTGATGTTCCCCTTCCTGACTCATCTCCATCCTGCCCCATAGATGATGACTTTTGATTCTTTGTTTATTCATCATCCCTTTACACTCTATTATTTTTCACTAAGCAGTGTTCTGTTTTACTTTCCTTGAAATTTCAAAAAAATAAGTATTAATGAAATTACACTTGGAAGTTTTTTTGATGGTGTCATGGACTCTGTATGTTTCACACATGCTAATGTTTGAGGCTACCAGCCATCCGGTTTATTCCTCCATTCCAGTGGTTATTCTCAGTCTGTGTGCTTCTGTGTGTGCTCAAAACTGGTAGGAAGCAGCCCTAAGGCTCATGAATATAAGGATTTTGTGGAGGTCTAAGTCTCCATGCCTTATTCTTCATCCTGAGCTCTAACTTCCCAATAAACTCCTTGACCCATAAAATGAGACAGAAAAAAAAAAGGAAAAACAGCCTGTGACACAAACATGCTGAAATCAATACTTCTGCAAAGGAATATTTTCACTCAACCAGCAGGAGTTAAATATTTCAATTTGCCTGGAGTACGTCAAGACACCATGGCCAGGGCCGGCCCGGTGGCGCACTCGGTAGAGTGCGGTGTTTGGGAGTGCGGCGGCGCTCCCGCCAAGGGTTTGGATCCCCTATAGAGACCAGTCCGCTCACTGGTTGAGCGCGGTGCAGGCGCAACACCGAGGGTTGCGATCCCGTTACTGGTCACGAAAAAAGACAAAAAGGAAAAAAAAAAAAGACACCATGGCCAGCTGCTGCTTGTTACAATGCAGATTTTCAGCAGCTTCCTGGCTCTCATGTTTGCTGATGGGAACAGAAGTAAAAGCACACAGTTCTTAAGTTGTATTTATTCATAAAGACCTCATCCAGACTTGACCCTGTTTTTCACAAAATGCTGAGTGATACGGTGCATAGTAAGGTAGGAAATGAAAGAGTTTCTCTCAGAAGGAATTGGTGTTCTTAAATTTTCTTTTATTTGTATAGCATTTCTCTTATTTCTCCAGGGTGGTCTTGTTCCTAGCATTAGAGAACAATAAAGCTTGTAGTGATCATAGTAAAAATGTAGAAGTCATTTCTATGTATTCATGATATTGTTAAGTTTATGCGAAAAGTGAGGATGGATAGAGAGTCAGAGTTCTCACAATCAAGTCATACGATAAATGTCTGGAGACCACAGGATTGAATGTGGACAAGTGAATTGAGTATACATCCCCAGTTTTGTTTGTCTCACTCATTCTCCTGTACACATACATGGGATATTTTAGGACTCAGTGGCATTTGAGGATGTGGCTGTGAACTTCACCTGGGAGGAGTGGGCTCTGCTGGATCCTTCACAGAAGAATCTCTACAGAGATGTGATGCTGGAAACCTTTAAGAACCTGGCCTGCATAGGTAATGATAACAATATTCCTTAACTTAGTAAATTAGACAAGTGTCTCTTGTTCAACTGTGTTCCAAGATTTGAATGGTAGAAAGAGAATACCTTGGTGAACAAACTAGCCAAGGTCACAGCTAGTCATGGATTTAGAATCTTGTAATTATTCTGTCATTTCTAATAATTTGTAATGATTTTTCTGGGTCTGCATTTTAGGGGGGAAATGGAAAAGCCAAAACATTGAAGATGACTACAAAAACCAGGGGAGAAATCTAAGGTGAGTTTCACTCAAAAGAGTAAGTCACTACCACAAGAGAATCTTAGTAATACTGTCATGAAATTTCACAAACAAGGAAGGAAAACAATAAGCCCAGCTTCAAATTCATTTATTCTTAGAAAATTTTCAGTAAAATGTTTCCATAGTAAATGTTTCCTTAAAAACATCATAGGTGTTCAGTATGTGAAAAATAGTTGTTTGAAACCCCACATATAAATATAACCCATTTAGATAATAGCTATGGTCAAGCCCTCTTTCCAAGCATTGAGTATATTCACTTGCAAACAATTCACACAGGGCAGAACACTTACACTTTACCTAAAAATTGTTAAAATGTAATTCTAATACCTATAAATAAATGTAAAATTAATTTTAAAAAACCATTAATAGTGTGCTACTTATTTTATACAGAAGTCAAGGTAGAGGGATTCAGTGAAAGTAAAGATAGTCAATATGGATAATTCACCAGCCAGATTCTAAATCTTAATCTGAACAATCTTAATCTGTAATTAAATCATGTGAATGCAGTGTATGTGGAAAAGTTTTCATGCGTCACTCATTTCTTAATAGGTATATCAGATCTCACACTGGACACAAACTATGTAAGTATCAGGAATATGGAGAGAAGCCATATAAATGTAAGGAATGTGGGAAAGCCTTCAGTTCTACCCGTTACATTCGAAAACATGAAAGGACTCATACACAAGAGAAGCCCTATGAATGTAAACAATGTGGTAAAGCCTTCAGTTGTTCCCATTACATTCGAAAACATGAAAGGACTCACACACAAGAGAAACCGTACGTATGTAAACAATGTGGTAAAGCCTTCAGTTGTCCCAGTTCCTTTAGAATGCATGAAAGAATTCACACTGGAGAGAAACCCTATGAATGTAAAGAATGTGGGAAAACCTTTGTTTATTTCCCAAGCGTTCGAAGACATATGATAACGCACACTGGAGAAGGACCTTGCAAATGTAAAGTATGTGGGAAAGCCTTTAACTGTCTCAGTTCACTTCAAATGCATGAAAGGAGTCACACTGGAGAGAAACCATATCAGTGTAAACAGTGTGGTAAAGGCTTCAGTCGTTCCAGTTCAGTTAGAATGCATGAAAGAATTCACACTGGAGAGAAACCCTATCAGTGTAAGGAATGTGGAAAAACTTTCATTTCTCTCCCACGTGTTCGAAAACATATGATAACGCATACTGGAGTTGGACCTTATAAATGTAAGGTATGTGGGAAAGCCTTTAACTGTCCCAGTTCATTTCGAGCACATGAAAGGACTCACACTGGAGAGAAACCCTATGAATGTAAACAATGCGGTAAAGCCTTTGGACATTCCAGTTCCTTTAAAATGCATGAAAGAACTCACAGTGGAGAGAAACCCTATGAGTGTAAGGAATGTGGGAAAACCTTCATTTCTCTCCCAAGCATTCGAATACATATGATAACACACACTGGAGAAGGACCTTGTAAATGTAAGGTATGTGGGAAAGCCTTTAACTGTCCTAGCTCATTTCGAATGCATGAAAGAACTCACACTGGAGAGAAGCCCTATGAATGTAAACAATGTGGTAAAGCCTTCAGTTGTTCTGGTACCTTTCAAAGGCATGAAAGGACTCACACTGGAGAAAAGCCCTATGAATGTAAACAATGTGGTAAAGCCTTCAGTTCTTCCAGTTCATTTCGAATGCATGAAAGGACTCACACTGGAGAAAAGCCCTATGAATGTAAACAATGTGGTAAAGCCTTCAGTTCTTCCAGTTCATTTCGAATGCATGAAAGGACTCACACTGGAGAAAAGCCCTATGAATGTAAACAATGTGGTAAAGCCTTCAGTTCTTCCAGTTCTTTTCGAGTACATGAAAGAATGCACACTGGGGAGAAACCCTACGAATGCAAGGAATGTGGGAAAGCCTTCAAATTTCTCACTTCCTTTCGACATCATGAGAGAACTCATTCTGGAGTGAAACCCTAAAGAATGAATGTGAGAAATCTTTCATTTATTACAAAACCTTTTGAGCACACAAGTGAATGCTTAATAGAGCAATACCTATGAATGTCAAAATGTGGAAAAGCCTTCTATCTTCCCAGTTTAATTCAAGGCCATGAAAGAAAACTCACACTGGTGAGAAACCACTTGAATATAAGCAACGTGTAAAAGAATTCAGTTGGCCTACATCCTGACAAAATCATGTAGAAATACACACAAATGAAACCCTACTAGTTTTAAAATATAGGAATGTTTTCAATTTTAGCAAGCACTTTAAAAACCATGTGAAGGGCAGGCCCCGTGGCGCACTCAGGAGAGTGCGGTGCTGGGAGCGCTGCGGTGCTGGGAGCACAGCGACGCTCCCGCCACGGGTTCAGATCCTATATAGGACTGGCCGGTGCGCTCGCTGGCTGAGCACGGTGTGGGTGACGCCATACCAAGGGTTGTGATCCCCTTACCGGTCATGAAAAAAGACAGACACACAAAAAAATCATGTGAAAACTTTTTTTTTTTAAAGATGACCGGTAAGGGGATCTTAACCCTTGACTTGGTGTTGTCAGCACCACACTCACCCAGTGAGCTAACCGGCCATCCCTATACGGGATCTGAACCCGGGGCCTTGGTGTTTTCAGGACCACACTCTCCCGAGTGAGCCACAGGCTGGCCCAATCATGTGAAAACTTAACAAGTACTTTAAAAATCATGTGAAAACTTACTTTGGAGAGCAGTCATATAAATGTAAGTAACATGGAAAGCCTGGTGGAAATTATTTCATGTCTTATGAATTCATAAGAAAATTCATAACATCAAAGAAATGTAAAAGTTATAGGTATATTGTGTTTATCACTGGCTCATTCTTACAGTGGATCTAGGTCTATTGATTTTTACTTCTTTTGCAAAGAAACATTGAGGTGAGATCATTATGTAAGTTCTCTTTACACAGTAGTACCTGAGTTTAATATGTAGGGGTTTGGGGAGTTTTTAAGTTAATAAAATTTCTCTTTCCATGTTGAAGTGTGTTGGCTGTATAAGTGAATTGCAGCATATTTCTAACATGCTGGTAAGTTAAATGTTTATATAACTAAATTGTTCTGTGATTAATGGGCTACTGAAAAATGACTTAATTGTTGGGGTTCTCCTACTGACCTGTGTGGCAGGTGCTAGATCTCCCTTAACTATTATACATATTCCCTTTCTTTCTTATGGGGAAAACTGCTTTTTGAAAAAGTTGGGAGTGAAAAGAGCTTTATCCCATTTTCCTGACTAATAAATTGTTGGCTTCCACTTATAAGTATATAATGGTTATCATATAGTCTCATGTGAATTGTTATTTCAGCCTTTTCCCCTATAATGTACTGGACACTGTTTCCCATAAAGTTCCTTTACTTACTCTGTAGCAAACTGTATAATACTTGTAACAGATCTACTTTTTCAGTCAAGTGAGGCCAATGTATTTAGTTAAATTGTCAGACTACAAACCTAGCAAGAAACAGTCAAGAGAGGATCACTTTTTCAGTCTAGGCTTTCTTGCTTACAGTATAGTGTTGATACCAATTTTTCAACATCCCTCTTATATTGGTCCTATAGACTCAAAACATAAAATTAAGCATAAATAATCCAGGCACACTAGGCTCTGGATATCATGGCAAGAAAAAAATTCTTGAAGTTTGGGTGTTTATATTTTTTGTGAGAAAATGATAATAATTAAATGGCAAAGCTTTGGTTTATAAGACTGAGGTAAGGGCTTCAAAAGAAGTAAATGATAACATGGGAGATAATAAGGAAGTGGGGGTTGTGGGGTTGGCCAGTTAGCTCGTTTGATTAGAGCATAGTACTGACAACACCCAGGTCAAGGGTTCAGATCCCCATAAATGCCAGCCACCAAAAATAAATAAGGAAGCAAAGGGTATGTTGCACATGTTTTTTGTGATGGGTAGAAGACTCAGTGAGTGAGATGTCATCATTGATCTTTCTGTTTCTATATCTAATACATCTTAAAAATAAGGCACTCCCCAAGTGAAATTCTCCTGGGGCACCCTGTTTCTTGTGTGTCAATAATCTTGTGTTTCTAGAGCCAGTCTTATGGCCATTTCCAGCTCTGTTCCACCTCAAGCCCCCTGCTCTGTGCCTTTTTGCTGAGAAACGTCTTTGAGAATCAACACCTTACCCATTCTTTGGAAAATTTCTCTACAGCAATCTCAGCTGGCTGTCAAGTGAGATGGTGGGGGAAGCAGTGGCAGAACCCATGTCCCATTATTCACACAACTTCAGCCACTGCAATCCTCTCAGCCCCACAGACATCAACTCAACCCCTACAAGCACAAACCATAGTCTTAGATCCAAATTTCCTCTTTAACACTTCTTTTGTTTTGTCTCATATATTTTGGTATGTTGTGTTTTTATTTTATTCATTTCTAAGTGTTTTCTAATTTCCCTTGTTATTGTTTATTTGATATATTTGTTGGTTGGATGCTTTTTCATTTTCCCTAATTACTGAATTTTCAAGATTTCCTTCCGTTATTTCTTTCTTTTTTTGTTTTTGTCTTTTTCCGTGTCCGGCAACGGATCGCAACCCTCAGTGTCGCCCCTGCACCGGACCAGGACCGGCAACGAGACCACAACCCTCGGCGCTGCCCCCACGCCTCGCTCAGCCAGTGAGCGGGAACCGGTCTGTATGTGGGATCCGAACCCTCGGGCGGGAGCGCCGCCGCGCTTCCCAAGCGGCGCACTATCCAGTGCGCCACCGGGCCAGCCCTCCTTCTGTTATTTCTAAGATCATCATGCTGTGGTCAGAGGACGTCCATTGTATGTACACCTATTTGTATACTTTATTATTTTATTGTCCATTAATTGTTTTTATTTTATTTTATTTTTTTATTATTATTTTTTTTTTAAAGATGACCGGTAAGGGGATCTCAACCCTTGACTTGGTGTTGTCAGCACCACGCTCAGCCAGTGAGCAAACGGGCCATCCCTATATAGGATCCGAACCCGCAGCCTTGGTGTTATCAGCACCACACTCTCCCGAGTGAGCCACGGGCCGGCCCCATTAATTGTTTTTATATTTCACATATCTTATATCATTGTTATAATTAATAGCATAAAATGTATCTTATTTTTATATGTTAAGGTGTTTATGAAACTTATTACAGTTTTGTATTTACTATTTTTAGTTTTCATTATTTCCCTATTTTTAAAAATTTATTGAGGGCCGGCCGCGCACTGCTACAGTGCGCCGCTTGGGAGTGCGGCGGCGCTCCTGCTGAGGGTTCGGAACTGAGGTAAGGGCTTCAAAAGAAGTAAATGATAACATGGGAGATAATAAGGAAGTGGGGGTTGTGGGGTTGGCCAGTTAGCTCGTTTGATTAGAGCATAGTACTGACAACACA